TTGCAAACGGAAAAGGCTCATTTTGTTGCTAATTTTTCAAACTATTCACCATAAAATTGTTAACGAAAACTGTCGAAAAAAAATTCTACGCGACAACAACCTTAACTTTTCGAAAAACTGGAGCTCACCTAACTTGAGTAGCGTTGTTGCCACATCGATTAATTTCACACTTAATTAATTAATTCCAGAATTTATAGTCCATGAATGAAAATTTTCCAATGCGCCAAATGTTCTTTAAGATCTGTATATATAATTTGAGAAATTTCATGAGAAGCTCATCTTTAGAATTTTCAAGACTAAAAAAAACCGTGAGCTGCCATGAAACTCAATGTTAATGGTCAAAAAATCCGAAAATTAATAACTATTTTTCTGGCCCATCCAGGCTTCCAAAAATTTAATTGAGTTATTTTTGCATTAAATTCTATCTCTATATCAATTTCCAGTTTACGGGAGTACTACCTTAATCCCTCACTACGCCCCTGATGAGGTCCTGAATGCCTACATTTCACAACAGTCTGACGCTTTTGTTCAGCTGGTGTATAAAAGCATTTTGTGCAATAACATTTCATTAATAGTCCATTAACATTAAAACTAGAGTACAGTAGAATCAAGTATATTTAATACTCTATTCAAGTACAACATGCAATCGATTTTTTTTTATGTCGAGTCAAGTGATGATTTTGTCGATTATTTATCGATAAACATCGCTCATATGGGACGACAAAAAAGTTGATACCGAAGTTTAAAAATTGAAGGGAGCAAAAATCATTGGTATAGTATACTGGATATCCATTTGGCAGTATTTCATAGATCTTTGTTCCTACAACAATGGAGCTGCGTGACTTCGTCCATTAGCCTCCTTCGTAACCAGAGTGGGTGCTTTAGCTTTTGGCTTTAGTAGTGGATGCGGGATAGTGTCAATAGCTGAGTGTTGATTTGTACGAGATCGTTTTCAGTTCCAGCCCCGTATATTGAACCAATACATGCATTCAACCTCAACAACGAATGCAGATGGACAATTCATGGAGACCCAATAGCACAGTTTTTTTTTCATTTTCGAGTGAGTAAAAACGATCAACTTTAAAAAACTAACTTCATAATTACTATGCAAAAGTGAAAGCATTGGAGAATTTTTACGTCAGTAAACGTATCGCGTTTTCCATAAAAATCAAGAAATTATTTATTTATATAAAATAAATTATTAAAAACATTTAAAAAAGAAATGGAAATCGATTTTTTTTCATCAGAAAGAGAATAAAAATAGGCCAATAAAACTGTGAGTAACATCGATCAAAATTTCGCATTTGATCTAAATTTCGATCAGTATTACACTCGTACGGAAAATGAACCGAAAATATAAATTTTTCTTTATATAAATTCGACTATAAGCCACCTTCACGTCGATGGTCAACTAATAGTGAAAAATTCATTATATGAGAGCAAAATAATAAAATAGAGAGCAAAATATTGATTACTTTTCTCATTCGAACTTCAGCCAATCAGAGCTCAGTATTTGAGACTATCCCACAGAATTTCATAGGATATTTCTTGAAAATTGCTGATAGATATTGATTAGTAGCTTTTCAAATGTTTTTCGTCTTTCAACGCATTTCACGTTGAAAGTTATTTCTGATAAATCGTCATATTATTCTCCTGTTCCTCCTATTATAAAAAGAACCAACACCGAGGCTATGGATATCTGAAAAGTCTATCACGCTTATTCCTGATTAATTCAGTCCGAGGCAACTAATTTGAATTCAGAACTCATTTCATTTTGAAATTTCCAATCATGACTTTCATAATTACAGTGTGCTATAAGGCGTGTTCGGTCTCATAAACAAAAAAGTTGGTTATTCCCAACTGAACAATGAGTTACTGTAGAGGATTTTTTTTGGCACATCTTTATGAATAAACGAATGGTAATGTGTCACTGAAAATGGGAGTGGCGAAGGAATCAATGTGAATACACTTTTTGACGTTATCATTGCGTGTGTAAATGTATCTGGATGCTGTTCACTGCACTGTGCTTAGCCGATAGCCCGGTGGGAAAATAATCGTCTAATATCACGAGAGCTTCGAAATCAGTGGATATTTCCCGATAGGTTCGTTATAAAGAAACGAACGTGTCAAGTTTTCGTTCACCTGACGTCGATAGTTCCCTCTTCGCGTCCTCAGTTCTGCGATTCGATTTGATTATTTTAAATTTCGTCAACTGATGTGAAACTATAAAAGTGACCTTTTTTTTATAAGTCTGCATAGTGAATATTTGAAGTAGAATACCTTTTAAATCAATCTCGTATTCAATTCATTAATCGCATGGAATCACGAAAATCACCAATTGGATAAGTTTATCATTTTTCATTGCAAACTTTCTTGATATTTTCTTAGATTAGTATCGAAGAATTCAATATGAATTATAACAATTGGAACATTTTATTTGGGAGATCATTTTGGTAAAATGTTAGGTCGACCGATCAGGAATTTTTCGAGATATACTAATTTCCTTGAAACTCATTCGTTTCTAATATGTCAAAAATATTTTTAATTTTTTAATTGTAGCATGAATTTTGGAACTTATTTGAGACATAAATTTGAAAAGACATTAGAAGTTAAGTAACCTTATAATAAATATGTTTTACATATTTCATTACCCTAACCACTCAAGGGAATAATATTTTGAACAATAACACGGAAAAATCTCAGTTATTTGAAAATGAAAGAGAGAAAAAAAAGTCAAGTGCAATATGAAAATATGTTCTCTCCTGATGTGAAGTTGACTTGAGGGGGGCGGTCCACTATCCCCTGTAGCGTCGAGACTCATAGGGGTAGAAAACAGCGAGTAAAACTCAGGGATGAATGTGTACAGAGATGAAGGTTGGTGGATATATAACAATAATGGAGCTGAGTTTTCTGACTCGCCTCTTGACTCTTCGTTAAACTCGAGTGCGAGTGAAGAAAGAGAAGTGGCTCTGTTCTTCGGTTGTAATCGACCACGAGTTCATGTAGCACTCATTCCGTTTGAAGCTTACATTTTTTTGTTTATTTACAATTAATCCCATGAAATAATTAACTTATGTGCCCTCGATGATTTCACCAAATTCTCACATCATAATTTACGCACATTCCTGTCGGACCCGTCGCTTGAAATTCGAGTGACGGTCAATTGTGATGTTGAGGGGGTAACTGAACTATCAACTTAAATCAAGTTGATTCAAAGG